GCAATAGGTTAGAGGGCCCAAAGACACAAGACAGCGAAAAACACAAAACAAAACCGAAAAAAACATCAAGATTTGTGCGTATCATTCCTTTCAACTACAACAACGTGGTACACTGCAAGATTTGTGCGTTTCATTCCTTTCAACTGCAACAACAAGGTTTGTGCGTTTCAATCCTTTCAACTGCAACAACATGGTACACTTCAAGATTAGTGCGTATCATTCCGTTCAACTGCAACAACATGGTACACTTCAAGATTTGTGAGTATCATCCAGCAAACTTCAAAAGAAGCCCTATGACTCCAAGGGTTACACACACACACACATCTAGCCGAGTTTTTCCTTTTATCTTTTTTCGCATCTCAGGAAGTGGTCTGCAGCCTTTCGAAACCTCAACTTGCTCCCCGCCTATGGCGCCGTCTCCGGCGAAGGTGCTGCGTCGCCCAGCTCGCCGGGCCGCGGCGTGGCGTCGCCGGGAGGCTTTGCCTTCGGGGCCTTCGGCGGAGCATCGGTGGGCGTGGGGGCACTGGAGCCGAAGGAGCGGAACCCCAAGGGAGCCGAAGGGAGCCGAAGCAAACCAAGGCAAACTGGGTTTGGAAGCAGGTGGTTCAGGTGGTTAAGGGAAGGTGGTGTTGTAAGACAACACTTGTTTGGTACATGCACACCGTCACCCTGCTCAATTAATGTTTTGCAGGATTCGGTTGGTCTGAGACTTCCAAGACCAATCTGGTTGGTAAACCATCGATTTTCATTTTACAGGCCAACGGAGACTTGTGCTGGTCACCATTGGTCCATGTGTAGTTGGACCATGGTGCGTAGACGGCCATGGTGCTTCGCATGGCCCATTTGTTGCCTTTTCAGTGACATTTCCTTCAACAAATCTTTCCTACTACCATGGTATTTGCTTTGTTTCCTTCTATATACACATTTCCTTACAACGCGATCTATGAGGGATCAGCGGGATCGAGAAAGGTCAATCCGGTTGAAGATCTCGAGAGTTCCGCCAGGACGACGCACTGACGGAGACACGGTTGAACTCGCTGCTGGCTGCAGTGGAGGGAAACAGCAGTGGGGAACAGCGCCTGGAGCAACGCCTGATGACAAGATGCTGTGTGGTGGTGTTGAAGGCTGTGGATAGCAGAAATGAGTGCTTGCTTTCTCCCCGATGCAGTCTAGCAACTAACATAACTCCATGTATCACTCCGGTAGCTTGTTCCATATTATATTGTTCTACCCAGGCGCGACACAAGTGGCACTTGGAAAGATGGACGACGGATGAGTTTCAGCTCTACCGGGTAGTGCGCGGACACATGGTGACACCCCCAGCGGTGCAGGAGAACCGGTCCACCGTAGGACCTTCAAACACCTTGAACAAGCCGAGTCTGAGTACCGTTTGATCAACTAATTTTGTTGAGCACGTTCTAAGGTTTCCATGTTTTCATTGTTCAGTGGATGTCAACACCGTTTGGTCTTTGAATGTTGGCTGGAAATTCCGGGCCATCCCATCTACTTCCGTTTCCGTGAAAAAGTTCTGCCCCCCCAGAAGTTGCAGGTACATCTTCCGGAAGAGCAGAAGGAGCACTTATCGTTGCTTTGCTACTTGAGAGCCTACTACGCAGTGGCGGCTTGGGAGGAGGGCGTTCACTGGGTGAACAGCCATGGGAGTTTGATGCATCTCTACTGTGACACGGCCATTCTGGGACTTCGGATCGCGCTCAGGACTTCGGATCGCGTGGAGTTTGTCGTGGTGTTGGAGACCAGTCCAGAAGGCCTCAGAGTCATACTTCTATCAATTCAGTGGTGTTCTCCCTGATTCTGGAGAAGTGGTCAGTCAACCTCACGCTGGGCTATTTTGTCCAACATATGGGTCTGGTCCGGTCCAAAGGATCAGGGGTTCCACGGGTTTAGTCGGGTCGTGGACGATTCGTTGGAAGGTCCGGTTCTATTTTCAGACTGTTTACCGCGAATTGACACGACTGAAAAAAAGACACATTACCAGTTTTGGCCTCTTGCATACCCCAGCAATACTAGCTCTGAGACTCCTTGAGAATCGGCGGAGAATCCAGCCCCAAAATCCAACCCAATGACCTTCACAGCCACATGTAGCTTGAATCCGTGACGACCCCTGCAGGATGCAGAGGTTGGCCTTTGAGTTCCCCAATTGGGCGGCAGATGGCATTGAGAAGGATCTGGAAAACTGCGAGACAACCTTCAAAATTTCTGGAGGAATGGAGGTGGGTCTGAGGAACAAAGTGGCCCGGGCCCGTCCCCGTTCCCGGGTGGCTTAGGGAAATCATGGGTGTCACGAGGCAAACCGGAAGGCTTGAGAGGGACCTACTTATTTGCATCACAGATGTCCCGGAGGAGTCCCAGGAAGCAGCAATCAAGGGACGCTTTCTATATAGCTAGTAATTTGTGCTCCGGACATCTCCGGACTACAAAAGGTGACACAGAATGTTCACGTCACATAACTACAAATCCTGCGTTCCCGGCAACTTTGAATTTGCAAAAGCTGTCCCAAGCTGCCCAGAGTAGACCCCTGTAACTCGCCCACATAGAACAGACGGGGTTTCGGCTGTCGGGATAGCCATGTTTGATGTCCAACACAATGCACATGTTCGCCAGATACCTCAACAAATGAATCCTGATGTAACGCAACCTGCCACTTCCTCCCCCCGCAGGTGGGCTCGGTGATCCCCATGCGCGGCGACCTCTTCGGCGAGCCGAACGCCGCGGCGCTGCAGTGGGCGGCGGCGGCGCCGCCGGGGCAGCTCTGGCTGAGCAGCGGCGCCTGTGCGGCGGGGCTGGAGGATTTGGAGCTTCGAGACGTGGAAGAACAGGTGCTGAAGACTTTCATTTGTTTTTTCTAAGGCAACAGACCTCCAGCTTTTCCAGCTTTCGCTTTCGATGGGTTCGCTTCTTGAGGAAAGCTGCGAGATGCAGGCTGCATTGAGCTGGCACAGAAGACAGAGCAAGGTCAGGGGAGTGTGGGGATATGGAGGTGAGAGAACACGACGGAGTATACTCTCTGGAGGGCCCATGTTGGTTGATGAAGAGGATCATTCTTTTCGTACAAAGAAACGGCCCGGGCCCCACCCATTTGTTGAGCAGCTGAAGCACACTTTCTTTCTTTCGACTACAATACTTCTGACCCTCACTGGTTACTGTCATCTCTGACCCTTATGATGGATGGTCCTTCCGATTGAAGCAAGGCCCACAAGGTGAGGTCCGATCAACACCCTCAAGAAGGCTATTCAAGGAAGCTTCCCTCGTTCATTTGTGGGACGTCCGATCGATCCAGAGGAGAGGGTTGGCAGTTTGTCGTCCAAATCGCACCTCAAAGCTCCATGAACTATTTGCACTTACTTATCTCAGTAAGGTAGACTACGTACTGTCTGCAAAAATAAGGGAGCATTACTCCTTTTGGGTGTGGCTTTAGCACCAGTCAAGAACTCATTCCTGCTTGTCCACACGTCCCAAAATTCCCGATCCTTCGGTCATCCTTCGGTCACCCTTCGGTCATCCCGAAGCGCTTTCGGTCATCCAGAGGTGGCAGCTGCATCTCCGTGGAGGTCTCCGACTCGCTGAAGCTCAGCATTCCCATCGTCCGCGCGAACCCTCCGGGGCTCGAGGCCTCGGTGGAGGCGCTGGGCGGCGCCGAGGCGCCGAGGAGCCAAGGGAGCTTCGTGGTGTCCTTCTACGCGCGCTCCGTCGGGGTGGAGAGTCGTGCCTATCGACGCTTGGCGAAAGAGGAAGGAGAGAAGCAAACGGGTAAGTATGGAGCGAACTGGGACAAGGGCAGAGAGGGATGGATGGGTTGGATGGGTTGGGTGACAGATAACATGGAGTGACATCAGGTAGCAGGGGAGTTTCGTTTGGCAACTGAATTGGTACCCATATGGACAGCTGGGAGAGTCGAGAGGAAGCCTAGTTCCTTAGTTCCTTGGGCTTGTTCGAAGGGCTCATACCTTAGCTCTCACAGACTGGTTTTGGTGAGTTGGTGCGAATTCGTTTTCTTCAGTAACGGCAGAATTAGTTGCTGGATGATGTCTGGAGAGAACCGGTTTTGGTCCTTCTTTTGCTCAGTGTTTGACTTGTGGAACAGACCGGAAGACCGGAAGACCTGCAGACCTGTGGAGTCTTAAAACTTCTGTGACATCGACTCGGCGAAGTTCGTCCGCCCAAGGAAAGCCGATCCAAACCTTGCGTCTCTTGCTGAAGTTCCGCGATACCGTACGCCTGGCTGTGAGTCGAGCACAAGGCGTGCGGACCAGTGAGGGGTGGCCCAGGGAAAGGAGGACGGCGGGATACCCGACGGGGCCAGGATTCCTGGCCTAGGCACCAGCTGTGACTCTGAACGTGGTGACATTCATTGAATTTTCACTTCGAGGTAAGAGCTTCAGATTTGTTTTTTCTGCCCTGGACTCCAGGATGACTAAAGTCCTTTGTGCTTCTACAGGCAGATCGACCCGAAGAACTCCACACCAAAAACATGAACACCTTGCCTTGTTTCCTGACATAATTGTCCAAATCCAAGGAGCAACTCCACTGTAAAACGGACCCAAGCACAGCTGTTTCTCTCCTTGGAATAGTGTCATGTGAACCTGAGCCTGGCATGCCATTTGCGCCGGGATTTCGAATCCGACACTGGAGGTGAGGTCTGCTGGTGCCATGGCCAACACCTCTGCGCTCTCTTTGAGACCTCCGAGGCTGCGGTGCTTTGCGCGGACGAGGCGCAGAAGGAGATGGCGCTGCACAATGCCACGCGGAAAGGCGATGTGCAACTGGGGATGCTTTTTTGCAAGTGTGGCATGGGATGGCGCTTTTAGAGTCAAAAGCAGTCCATTTGGGGGACATGGGTCAATGTGTGTCGAGTCAAAGCCCATGACACCCTGACCAAACACCCCTCATGACACATCAAAAAGATGAAGAGAAAAGTCCACTGAAATGAGGATACGATATGAAACGATCACAACCAACACTATGGTCCAGTTTTTTCCCTGCTTTGTTTTCCGGCCATCCATGACTCTTTCCAGACGAGAGCGGAGAGGCCCAGGGATCCATGTCGAAGATTTGGGGTGAGTTTTACAGGTTGAGTAGCCGGGAGTCTTCGGCATACTGCGGCATACCCAGGCATAACACGGAGAACCACGGAAAACGATGCATATGCACTTCAGCCCGGCCTCGCCCACACCGACGTCGCTGAGGATGGTTTGCGCCTGCGACTTCGGCGACGTCTTCTTGAACGGACGCGACTTTGGGGGCCCGACGCTGTGGCGTGCGCAGACGCTGGCCGAGGCGACTGGTTTTGGCTCTGAGCCTGCGCGGCGCGACTGGAAAGATCCACACGTTGGCCGATAGAAATATGGAGCTTGAGATAGGGTTTATATAAAGTCCTTGTGGATTATATAGACGTTTGTGCTTTTGCATCTGAATTGAATCACACAACACCATTTAGGTTCCAAGCAAGTCCAAAGACACTGTCTGTCTTCCGCCCACTTCGCTGAAAACAGCCCCTGATTAATCTTTTTACAGTAAAGTCCCATTCTGACTCCCCTTCCTGCCAAACACGGCAGTTACGAAGGACCAGCCGAATCGGGCCCTCTGCCTTTGCGAGGCCGGGAAGCTGGGCGAGATCCTGGTGACCTCGGAGGTCCTCAACACCGAGGACACAGGGAGGGTTTTTCTGAGACACGAAGCGCCCCATGCCGAAGGGTGGTCACGGAGTCACGGAGTTTGGTTTCAAAGGCGGACCTTGGAAGCGGACTTCGGAACCAATAGAGCTATAGTGGACTTCCCTTTACTGCGGGGATGGGCTTGGGTTGTTAGACTTTTCGAAGTGATGGAACTTCCACACTCATGGACTTCCTACAGTCAATTGTTAACGTAGGTGCACGGTGCACTTGTGGAAAAAGAACATGAAATCTTGGATTCCTCACTTTGCAAATCAAGTTTTCTGTGCAAATCAGGTTATCATTAAGTTATCATCTCGTTCTGAGAAACTGCTTTCGACATCAAACACCGTCTCAAATCATTCGCGTTGAGACTCGGAACCGTAACCAGGACTGGACCACTTCCGCGCCCCACGTGGAGCTCTCAGCGACTCGTGATTGCTTGGGTGCCTGGGCGGACGTGGGCGGTGGGGGCCTGGTGAGGGGTGATGTGACCGGGCGGTAGGGGAGGTACCACTGGCACGAAGAGTGCGACCTGGATTAGTGAAGAGTGCGACCAGTTGGTGTCTCGTCAATCGTCAGGAAGAGTGCGACCATTGGTTTTCTGAAGGCGCAGAGCGAATTGATTCGAAGCCAGGGTGTGAGCCACCAGCCACAGCAGCATGTTCGCTTGATTTGTTCCTCCCAGCTCTCCGAGTCTCTCAGGTGCCACAGGACCCGAAGATTACATTCACTACAGCGCGGTGACGGTTCTCAGCACTCCCATCTTCCATGACCCCATCAGCTGAGCTGACATCGTGCCCTCCTCCGGGCCAAAGTGCCCGAGGGAGCTCGGAGAACCAGAAAAGGACGGAGCAACCACGGGAGGTTTTGAGTCTTGACAGTGATGATGGAAGACATCGTACCATATCGTTGTTTCACGCAAAAATCCAAAGCGAGTGCATCACTGGTCCCACCGTACACAAGAGATGGACCGGCCGTCCATCCCTCCCAGCTTCGTTTTGAGGTCTGAACACAAGAGCAGGTACATATGCATAGACTGCATAGATTCCAAATGAACAAGGCCACTGATGGACAAGATTCTACCGATTTGGAACAACGCTGCACCATCGAACTCATGTGTCGACCCTCCGACCCGGTGATCGATGTTCCAATCGAAATCTGCGGAAGGAAAGAATAGGAATAGGAATAGGAATATTAGGAATAAATAGGGAACACTTTGACGATCGCTCCTTATTTGTGTATCCAAGGTGGCTTCATGGAGAGGCCATACTTTTTGTTGTGGCCCCAAAACAGATTTTGAACAGCACGGAAATGTGAACACCCTTTCGAAGGTGCATTAAGACTGGTTGTTTTTTCCGTTCTTTTTCCTTTGACCCACCGAGCCGCGCGCTTGCGCGCGCACAAAGCGTTTCTTCGTGGCGCGAGGCCGACGGCCGCGGCATCTTCATCCACAAGGGCCGCAGCAAGGAACACTGACGGACATCGACTGGGATCCTTTTTGCCTAAAATCGATGTTCGGCCCCGATCGAAGCAATACCCTGTGATGCAACTGAGGGCAAATGAGGGCAAGGTCCTTAAGTGGGAGTTGCGGTCTACAATGAAGGCTGTTAATCCTCAGGGAATGTCGTCCAAACGAAGGGACAGATGCCGGAACCACGTGAGCAGCGCATATTGTGGACGCAACGACGCTCGCAGGAGGTGGACCCAGAAGTGGTGGCCAAGCTGGACGAGGTGGCGTGTCCAGTTTCTGTTGGATCGATAGGATACTGCGTTTTTGATTTGATGCATGCTTGAAGATATGCAGGACGCCAGAATGAGTCACTGAGTTACCTGCAAAAAGCCAGATATTCTGGCGATGGTCTTCTCACAGACAACCGTGTGAGAACACAGGAATCCAAACGAGCTGGGGATTCGCCAGGGCTACCCAACTGGACCCCAGCTCCTGGAAAACACCAGCCCTAAGTTGACTGGGCTCCACTCTGGCGGATTTGCTCAGAAATAAGTTTTTGGTACGCTCCCACTTCAGAATCTGCACATTCATGATGTGATGTCTTGTTTAAAGTGCTCCTTCCTACCCTAGTTTGAACACATGGAAGTGGAAGACCCGTTTCATTTGCCCCATGCTCGACCGCACACCACTGGGCAGTGGGACATCGGCCGATGTTCACACCAGGTGCGCAAGGCCAAGGGCGTGGTCCCCCGCGCGGTGAGCGACCAGGAGATCTGCGAAAGGTGCCGTGGCGATCGACGCGGGCCCAGTTGTCCCGTGCGCTTCCGCTTTTACATGACTCCATCGTCGTGGCACAAGCCTAAGTGAAGCACCTCGGTGGATCACATAGTAGTAATATCGTAGCGTTAGGACGCTATGCTCGGTGGAGGCCATGGCAAGTAGGTTGGAGGCCATCGCTACGAACGGAACAAGAAGCTACTAATAACACATATATATGGGTTCTTACAGACGAGTGTAGATGGGAATCGTTGAAGGAGCCATCCCATTCCTCCAAGAAAACCCATCTTCAAGGACCGAACCTCATCCACCAAACAAACTTGGGTCTTGGTTGAAAGCTTTTGTGAAGCAGGCTACTACCCACAGACGATCGCTGGTCAGGTTGAAACCATTCCAACTATTGGCTTTTACACCAAATGGGAACCTCGTAGAGCATATTTCTTCTGGGACTGGTCGCGCAGCCAGGCTCTTCTATCCTCTCATCAACGAGGGCTTCAAGATCCTCGAGGAGGGCTACGTGGCACGCTCCAACGACATCGACATCGTGTGCGCCCGACGCAGTGTGGAGGTTAGGACGGTCGGACGACCGGGACAGTCTTTTCGGTGGAGCGGAAGACCCCTGGAAGCAAAAGCAAATGACAGCCCCTGCCACGGACAGGCCATTTTTGGCAATTCCTTTTCGAGACGGACAAGCCTAAGACAGACCCGCACACTTTCATTGGATGGTCAACTTCCTGGTGCCCTCCGTTGGCGGATTCCAAGTGCTCTCCGGCTGCAAGGTATATCTATGGCTATGGCTTCCCCCCTTCCAAGGGTGGGCCGATGTTCTTTGCTGAGAACTATGCGCCTCGGATTCTCTTTGGATGAGGGAGGGTCAGGGAGGATAGGGTTCGGAGGTTGAAGCAGAAGAGGCGGTTTGCTGCTGCGCCAGCCTGATCAAGTCTTGAAGCGTCTCGGTGGCAGGCTCCGAGTGTTTTGGGTTCAACCGAAGGATCGGTCCAAGACGACTGGCAGGTCGGCACTCGATACTTCGATGGCAAGTCGCATCAAAGCGGTGGAGGTTGCTCGTCTAGTGTAGTGATTCGAACAGGGGATAAGACATGGAGCAAGCTAAATGAGAGTGGAGAACAACTTCTCGTGAGCATCTCTCAGGGGATAAGACATGGGCCGCTAGGGTCGGTCGATATGCGATTTGGAAGGATGACAAGCTTCAAACCTCAGGGGTTTGAGAATGCATGTTTTGGCCCCAAACACGCAGGTTTAGGAGGTCTTGGAGAGTTAGAGGGCGCCGTGTCAGGAACTTGACGAACATCTTCATCCAAGAAACCTGGAAGCCAGAAAACCCAGTTCCTTCTCCCGGTTCTCACCTTCCATGAGAAAAAGCCCTTCCTCCCATCCTTTCTTCGTTGAGACTTCGACCCCGGGTCGTTCGGAAGTGCCAAAAACGCCAGTTGTTGGGTCCGGGACGGTCCTTGGTTCATCCATTGAGTTGATTGGGACTTTCCCGTGCCATGTGTTTTTTTCTTGAGTCGATCAGATTCCATCATGGTCGGAGGGCCTGAGGGAGAGGTTTTCTGCCTTCTCTTGGGTGAAGTGCTTTCTTGCTGGGCTCCAACTCCAAGGCCGGTCACGGGGTATGTCTGAACATCTCCACTTGCTGTACAAAAAAGATGTTCCATGGAGTGTCCACGGTGGCTGGCCACGCACAATTTACTCTCCGGTTCCGATGCCTCACAAGGCCGGTTTCAAGACCATCTTGGAGAAGCTCAAGGTCACGACGTGTCCGAACGGTTGGGACTGGGGTGGACCGGTACGCAGCGGACGGGCAGATCTGCGTGACACAGGGGCTCGGAGGAATTAGACGAGACCGGCGAGATTGAAGAGAAACTTCATTGAGATGTCTCTCTTTAAATACATTGCGGCGCGGTTTTGTTGATCTAGTTTGTGTGTGATGCTTCTAGTGGCTGGTGCTTCAACCATCCTAGTTTCTGTTGAAGTTGGGTCTTCTTCAATTGAATTTGGGCCTTTTGAGGACGTTGTGAACATGTTACAGTAATTCAATTCATTTTGGGCAACACCAGTCTCGGAATTGGGCTGCAACGCCGGACTGGATCAAGATAGGGTGAGAGGCAGGAAAAGCAGTACACCAGGCTAAGTTCGTAGATGGCAAAACTCCACAAAGTAGATCTAATGAGAGCTTGACCGACTATCTAGTAGATCACTAAACCAAGAGATTGGAGTTGTGCCATCTACCCTCCTGGTGCACATCTGCTCTTCCAGCCACCGAAGCGAGGGTTTCCAGTTTTCCCATTGGACACTGATGACTGATTACCAACTCAACAAACCAACAGCTACTAGAACGTCCACTCAAGCTTCCCTAGTATACAGCAATGGAAGGGAAGCGATTTTCCGCCCAGCCGAAGGCGACTTTTTCTTGTTTCTCCTGGAGCCATGGAGATGGAGCCCATGGACGCACCCGTTCCCTCCGGCGAGGCGGCATGTCCAGTGCCTGTCTCGCTCGGTGCGAGCGCGGTGGACGTGGTGGTTGACCCGGCAGAGAAGGACATGGACCTGATGGTGTTGTGGCTCTCACGCATGGACTTGACCAACCGGAAGTTCCTGCGAGCCGTACCGCTCAGGTGCTCAGGAGGTTTGGTCGAGTCCTGCGAACTTCCACAGAGTTAGAGTTCAAACACAGCTTGGCAGTGGAGGAGATCAGAAAATTCATCTCTCATAGCTGGCAGGCGTCAGGTTGGTCCAAAACGCTGACTTTGCTACTTTTCTACAACTGGAAAGCTGCTGTAATTGTCAGCAACTTGATAGCCCTGCTGGCGATGGTCCTTTTCATGTTCGATCTTCTACCAGGCTTCATGAAAGCAGCCCGTTGGGGCCCAGAGCTCTACGTGGCACCATGGACCATTTGCACTGCCGTGCTTTGCTTCGTGTTGGTGTTGATCTTCCGCACTCCGAAGGAGCCAGTCTTTTTGGATCGCCTTTGCATCAACCAAAAAGATGAGCCTGAGAAAGCGGAGGGTGTGTTGAATATCGGTGCGTGCCTGAAGCGATCGAGAAAGCTCTTGGTGATTTGGGAAGCCACCTATTGCCAACGGCTCCTAGGCACCTTTTTGGGGGGGGACTCGGAGCATTGTTTCTTCTGCTCTTTCTTTGCCACAAGTATAGTCCACCAAGTCCTGCAGGAACCCTTATCGCTGGCATCTTGTGCCAGGTAGTGCTGTGAAGAAGTCCAATGCGAACCCTGTGTGAACAGGTAACCAGGTAACCACCTAAGATCTGAGTGTTGGAGGAAAAGTCATACCGGTGCAGCGCGATCGGAGCCGTTCGACCATACATGTGCAATACAGTTGAGATGTATATATGCATGTATATATAAATTTCGTCTACTGTAATATCTATAGACTCCATAGACTCCAGACATATTCAAAGCGAAGAGTGGCGGCTTCCGCCTTTCTGAAGAAAATCAGTAGACTGCACAGCGCTGGCCGAACAGGTCTCTTCAACGTGCACGGTACCGCGTGGGTGCACTGCACGCGGGGCAAGCTCACAAGATCAAGGAAATTCGTGTGGAAATTTCGCCGTTCAAGAATTTGAATACTGCATGGTTTGAAGTCAGAATCATGTGTGGGGCAACACCCGTGCCCTCGACATCCAACATGAAAGGATCATTGATCAAGGACGTTCATCTGCCAGGAACTTTTGGTGTTGAGTTGTGAGTCAGACCTACATGAACAGACACGTGAAAGTCACATCAATCAAGGTTGGTGGTGTCTAGAGGTTCGATAGAGAGTCTGGGCTGCTTCCCGCGGCTAACCTATTGTACAGATTGGACGACGATGCAAGACAACACAGCAATAGTCAGGGTCCACATTTTGCCACTTTGTTTGCAAGTTGCTGACTTCATAGGAAGACATTGGATCGATCTGGATCTTGCTGAAACAAGTGCGCGAGACCTCACCTGTATAAATGTCACACTTCCAATAGCTGCATCGTGCGGAGTTTGCCCAGCTCCTTTTTTCCGGGTCTTGTTTGGGCCCTTTGCAAGGCCCTTTCGTGGCTTTGCCTGGGAGAAAAATCCAAGTAAACCAAGCGTGTGGCCTGTGCCCACACTTTAGTTTCAAGGAAACACCTTGAAAGTGATCCGTGTCATCTTGAGGATTTGGCTTTGAAACGTGCATTCGACTGGTAGAAGACGGTCGAACATGTCTGGTCGAGTCTGCAAGTCGGCAAACGAAGTGTCGCTGCGTCAGTGAGATTATCTACGAATCTAAGTCAGACCTGGCAATGGTTAAAAAGGAAGCCACAAGCGAAGTTCCCCCTTGTTCCTTGTGTTCACACTCACATGGTGATAAGTGACAACCACTCTCAAGCTCAGGCTGTGGTGCATTTTCGAATTGGCAGCGTTCTTGACGACCCACGAGGATAAGGACGTGGTGGTGCTGCCCACCGCTCTTGCACAGTTTGTGATTGGATCGATTCTCTGGAACTTCTTGATGTGGTGCTTCTGGATCGTGCTACCTTTTGGCAGCGCAGTGGCAACTTACATTCTTCTCTTCGGCTACTGTGTCTATGGTTGGTTGATTTCCACAGTTGGAGTTCAACACGTCCTGAGCGTTGAGAAGATGCAGGAGGAGTTGCGGAATTTCAGCGTTGCAGATGCAAATTGCTTTTGCTGCTCGGTGAATCACAAAGATCCAACAGGAGAAGACATACCATGTGACCGCCAGATTATGCTACAGTGCGTTCAACAGTGGTTTGGCTCTATCAAGGAGTTTGAAATGTCGGTGCGGAGCAGGTTGAAAGATGCGTTAACCTCCTCTTTGGGGATGTTTTGTCCATACTCCTTGGTAGTCACTACAGCTCTTCCTTGCATGTGGGTGAACTTTGACTTTGCCGCTGCCAGATTATACAGGCGAGATGCTTCTGGGGCAGTAGGCATGAGCATCATTGGTCTCATTAGCGTATTGCTGCTGGCTCCCGCAGTATATGCACTCATTATTCTGATGATTCGATGCTCCTCCCGCTGCTGCCTGACCTTCCGCAAGTTGTTGGCAGTTGGAGCCGTTCTTGCAGCCAATCTCGCAGTGCACGGCATTTTGCAAGTGAGTGTGGACTACGCGGGTGAGATGTGGGGGCCGGCATTGTGTGTCCCTGCAACGCTTTTGCCCATGTTGTTCTTGTGGTGGCTGACCACTCGAAAGTCCATAAGATTTGGAACCGACCCCCAGCTGGAGGCTGAAGCGCTAGAACACGGCGTGACTTCTAAGCGCAGCTGAAAGACTTTAATTCGTTTGGCATGCCAGCAAGGTGCTTAGCTCCTGAAAAGTGCGAGCTCTTGTAGACATGTTTGTTTGCACCGGCCATGATGAACATGTTTGAACCTCATTCTTAGGCATACCTATCATCCTCTAGCAACTCCTGAGCGACCTTTCACTTCAGCCGGACACCGGGACGATCTCGTGGTGCCGAGATCTCGCTGCGCAGGTCTTTGACAAGCAGGCCAAGGAGCGATTCACCAAGAACAAGGCATACTTGTGGCTTAGTTTCCGATTTCAGAAGGGATGAACGGGAACACCATGGCACATCATGGCACAGCTGGATTTCGCTCCAGCCTTGTGCATAGTGTCCATGCAATTTGGAGATTTCCTCGGTTTTTCCTCTTATCTGTGCTCAATCTCGCTGCCTCAAAGTTGGATAGCATTTGCCAATTTTCACCGTCCCTTCAAGCCGAGAGGGTTGGCTCTTGGACCCCCCGAGGATCGGTTTTGTCGGACTTCGATGGACATCTAGAAGTCTTGGTCGGCCACCGATGGACATCGGAGGAGCAGACGAGATTGAGTGAGTCCAGCGGCCCCAAAACCGTAGGCATATGCTGCATATATGAATAGAGAACAGAGTACGGAAATCCATATTTACTGTATATATATATAATACAGTATATAATCGTGATAATATGTCAGATTCACCTGTCCGATTTATGTGATGGTTGCCTTAAGGCCGGCACGGCACATAGTCACCTCTGCCGAGGACACCTCGCATGGGTGTCCTTTTTTGCTCAATGATTGGCTCTTCACCCTGGGGAGTAGCACCAAACTCTCTCACCAAACGCAGCTAAAAACGAATCTCCGGAGGAGAGAAGCGGAGACGGGTTTCTCAGCGAAACCTCGGAAACCATCTCCGCTGAAGAGGGGGATGGAACCAGTTCCAGAAGTTCCCCTCCTATGTACAATGGGCAAAGGCTGGTCGGATGGGGCGTATCCCAAGATCTGGATGTTATTTTGACATGCTCGTGAGTTTGGAGTCTGAGCCATGTGCAACCCCAAAGACAGCTGGGGCTCCTGTTCTGCTTTCAAGATTGGCGTCACATGTCCGATGGCATTCAGGTCCTGAGGGGTCACTCAGGTTCGGACAACACTCGGCGCTCAGGCCGATTAACTACTTTGAGCCCTCCAAGTTGTTGGAAGCCTGTGCGGAAAAAGAGGGCATGAAGGTCTGACTTTGTGGCTAAGGGTTGGCGAGGGCTTGGGACAGGTTGGGAAGGGAGATGAGGTTGAAACAGGGTATTTTTAGGGTTGTACTCGGAGCATGCACGTGCATTTACAAGTCATTCTAGTGTTCACCAGGATAGACGGCCGGGATGACGGACGTTTGGGTGAGGGGAAAAGGGAGGGTCGGATAGAACCAATGATCGAGTTTCAATGCATGGCTTTCAAAAGGGTCTATTATGGGAGCAGCTTGATTATGTTTGGTTATGGGAAGTGGAACTATTCGATGGATCAGAGGAGCTGTTGAAATGCGTGGAAGGGTTGAAGGGGGGCTTGAACGGTGGAACGAAAGTTCAAAGTCGGGTTTTGAGCAGTTCCTGGTGGTTGAAGACAATTGTATTTTCATATGAAACCAACTGACATAGCTCTGTGGCTAATTGATCGCCTAGCGAACCCGGACAAAAGCAGGTAGGTGCATCTGCCATAGGAAATGACACACACACAGACAAACACACACGGGCAGCAAGCGATCACGACGTTCTACTTTACAGTGGCTCATGAGGGTCGATCAAACTTCCTTTTTTGACAGAATGAACAAGAGAAGGTAACGGCCTTTTTGATAAGGTCTTATCTTGTTATTTTCTTCCCTTTGTGTTCCATTTCCCAACTTTGATATCAGTTGCCGAGGTTCAGATTCAAGTGAGAGAGGCTTTATCCCTTCATGTTCTTGACGTTTCTTTAACATCGCTTCCTAGGTGATCATGCGTTCTCTGATCCGAAAGCCAATGGGAGGCCTCTGGTTCTCAAACAAGGCCATGCCGCTAAAAGAGGTTCACTTGGATCATCCTTCACTCACCTCACATTCTTCCCCCAAAAGGCCTACCCTCTGCATCTCCTTACCTCTCGTGGCCGCCAACTCACGTGGCTCAGCTCCGTTGTGTGGCGCCGCTCGGGGCCCACGACGACGGTCGACGTCATGCCATGGGATTTCTGGGGCTCCCTCGACTGGGCGGATGTCTGCTGATTTCCTTGGGCCTCGTCGCCTGGCAGGCGGGAGAGGAGAGGGCGGAGGGCCGCGCGGCTACTTGCGGCAGCCCACGATGTGCGTAGAAGGTGCAGACTTTGGATGAAACCCCAGGTGGTCGAAGGTAGAAGACCCCCACCATGTGACAGAGGGATTCACCATGGGTTGCACTCTCGTGTGCCTGGGATCCGCAAAGTAGCGCGTGGCTGCATGGCTACAAACTTATTCCTCCGGCAGCTGGGCCCATTGACTGAGACTGGTCGTAGATCCAGAATTCCCGAACTGTCCTCCTTGTCCTTTTCCGAACTGTTGGATCTCTCATCCACTCATCAGTGGGACCTTCCAACTGATGGGGTCGTGTCACTGGACCCTCAAAAAGAAGTTTTTACCTTTTCTCACCGAGAAACTACATGGATTGTAGCATGCTCCAGGTGGGTCCAAAGTTTTCTTTTTGGTCGGTATACTTCCCTGATTGCTTTGTGTTTTTCGTTTCGCCGTTTTTCTTCAGAATCCCGTCCTGTTGAGATGGGAGACACATGTAGACACATGTAGAGACCATAGACATTGAGTTCATACCAAAGGAATCAGTCACACGGTCACCCTACCATGCTGCAGGATGGGCTAATTGATGAATTCATCCGTTGACTTAGAAATTGAAGACGTCGAATGCTGAAAAAAGAAAAAAACACCTACCCCTTCGAGGCTGGGAAGAAGGTCTTAGTCGAGAAGGCAGGAAAAAGGTTTTGAGACCTCCCCTTGCTGAACTAGCTGTTTTGGGTGTTCCCTGTTGAGAGCAGACTTCCTGGCACACGTTCTTGGGCTGGCTTAAACGCATCCCTCGCTTCCCATTGGCGGCGTCTGGACAGGGCCGTCATGTTCACCGCAGGTCCACCGCGCCGAGCTCGAAAAGCGCCCGAAGAGCGGGTCCGAAGAGCCGCACGAGGCGGAATGAGAGGGACGACGTCCGGGTCAGAGGGCGAGAATTGGATGTGCTCATGGTGAGTGTGCCCACCCGGTGGAAAACACATGAAAGGAGCTACGCACGGTGGAGGCCATCGCTGTTAGGTTGGAGGCCATTGCTACTAGGAGTAAGGACGCTACTAGTAGGTCTTTGAAGCTATTAGTAACAAACAGGATAGTTTTTTCTCGAAAGCATGTGGTCGGAAGTAGATGATGACAGTCCACTTTAGGCAAGCGGTTGCAAAACCGGTTACGAAGCTGAGTTCTAATCCCAGATCCGGACATATAGATCAGTAAACCAAGATCCATCCCTCATGTGGATGTGTCTTAGAATTAGGATGAATTAGGACTACCTGTTAGAATTGTGAGCACCTCCTGTCTTAGAATTTAGTGTTCTTTCCCCGGAGGGGAGTTGCAACCACTGATCCGCATCAAACCATCAACGTGGCGTGGGGCTCCCACGGTGCCTCAACGGTGCGTGATCGGTTTCAGTGACCGTTCCTCCAAAAACCACGAACACCTTAACAACGAGGCCAGGCCGTTGCGGAACTGACATATGTCTGGTTTTGAACAGTTGGGTACGTCTCAAACGAAGGGGACTGGCAAATAGGGGTCTTCAGTAGAGGGCTTCCATTTTTTTTTCATTGATTTGCTCAATGTTCATTGTACTAGCATGGCATCGCTACTAGGAGCGATCGGACGCTACGTTCGGGGCTCCATGTTCATGGTAGTCTGTTACTCCAGGTTCCCTGTGAGTCAACGCTTGGCCAGGACCCGACGCAGCTGCGCCAGGACGACCGCGACGCACATTTCGTGCAGCGTCATGCCCGCCTCCGGAGCGACCGGGCGCCGACGCCTCTGGTGACCACGGCGGTGCCCGTGCCTCGGTGGTTTCGGAGGGATGGTTTACCCGTTGGTTTCGGATTCGGCACTTTTGGGACTCAATGTGATTTCCTACTCAAACTCCAATGTCCCCTTGTTGCAGTGGACCATTTTCCTTAAATTCCCCTGCAACGTGGTGTTTATGAGGTTTGGACCTGCTTTGGGGTGAAATGGTGGGTCTTTGCCAAAGTTGAAGAGATACTGTTGATGGGCAAAATCCTGCACCACTTCCTCAGAGGGGTCGCGCATTGGGGCCACCACAGTGAGAAAACAAACACAAGTTGAAGGTCCAAAATCCTGCACCACCTCCTCAGAGGGGTCGCACCAACATTGAATGAGGGGG